TTTTTTTTTTTTTTTTTTTTTTTTTTTTTTTTTTTTTTTGTATTATTGTTATTATTGTTATTATTGAGCCCTAGTTTTTATATGTACCTTGTGAATTTTCCTACCAGTGTCCGTCTCTAGGGTTACTCGGTTGTCCTTGCGAACCCTTTCCTTTTTATAGAGTGGTTTTTGTTTACTCTTAATCTGTTTGTCCCTTACATAGACATCGTCTCCTACCATAAACTTTTTTATGCCTTTCCTTCTCCTATTTAGTCGAAGGTTTCGCGATTCTTGATTTTTTCTAATTCGATCTTTAATTTCCCTGTGGACCTTACTTCTAAAATCTGTCAGTCCTTGGTAGTTTATTCTTTCGGTTCTATTAAAGAATACATCACTAGGCTTCCTTTTGGTCAGAGAGTGAATCGTTGTATTATAGCGGTCGACTGCAATGTAGGCTAGTTCTTTGGGACTCGTATTGCTTATTTCCTTTCGCAGACATCGATAGATTTCGATCAAAGTTGAATGAAATCTTTCGATCTGCCCATTCACTTCACTTCTTTGCACTGGAGTTTGGTACAATTCAATCCCTAAACCTCTTATATAATTGCTTACTAGAGGGCTCATAAATCCTCTCTCATTGTCTGTTACTATTACCCGGGGGGGTTGTGAAGTAGTGGATAAGCTTGGCAAATTTTGCGCGAAGAGTGAGGGATGAGCGGTTCCTTATGTGGAAAAGTTTTGCAAACTTCGAAAATTTGTCAACACAGGATAGAAATTTTTCGTTTTGGATTTCGAAAATGTCAACGTGCAATATTTCGCATGGGTATTTAGGAATAGGCGTTTCCTTTATAGGGGGTACCGCGGGATGTCTATCGTACTTGTTTGTGAGGCAAGTTTCGCAGATAGATGCGAATTTCCTTATCCGACTTGCCATTTTAGGGAAATAGTACTTTTCCAGGATTTGCTCTTTATTTTCCCTGGGGTTTCTGTGTGCCCTCTTATGTTCATCTTCCACTATTTTGCAAATTCTGTCTTCGTTGGCCACGTCCTCAACTACCCGTTGAGTTATCCTAATTTTATATAAAAGAAAATGTTCTAAATATACCTCCTGTAGGAGTTGCAGACGATTCTCTGGGATTTTAATGCCATTTATGAGTGACGGATTGAGTCGCTCCTTTAGTACTTGTATTACTGTCGGTTTATCGATGCTATCCAGGGTTATGTAGTGTCGAGTAAAACCAGGATGTGGGTTTTCTACGCATGTCAAAGCCTTACCTTCCCTGAGCACTATTTGATTACGAAATACATTCAGGGGACATTCGACGTGTGGAATAAGGTCCGATGCGTCCTGCTCCGCGCTATGGACAGTTGCCATATCGCTTTCAATCTCTGAAGCTGAAGCGCTGTTCAATTGTGCATCTACCCTTGTCGGACTTCCACTTTCATCATCATCTACCTTACCCGTTGACTCTGCACTGGTTAAATTGTTTACTTGGCACGGCAGTCTTGACAGAGCATCGGCCACGACATTTGATTTACCTGGAGTGTAAATCAATTCGTGGTTGTACTCTTCGATTCTGGCCTTCCATCTCTTCAGCTTTGCATTGTAATTTCTGCTTCCCAATGCAAAAGTGAGAGGTTGGTGGTCAGTATAAATCTTAATCATCTTTGCACCATACAAATACGATCTTAAATTGTCCAGGGCCCAAACAATTGCCAGCATTTCTTTTTCATTTGTGGCGTAGTTCTCTTCTGTTCGGGTAAGGGAGCGCGATATATATGCGATTGGCCGGTCTCTTCCGGGTTCGCCTTGGGATAACACCCCTCCTATGGCATAGTTCGAAGCATCAGTTGTAAGATTGAACGATTTTCCGAAATCAGGAAAAGCAAGGATGTCTGAGCAGACAAGCAATTTTTTTAGGTCCTCAAACGCCCTAAGAGCATCCGCATCCAGTTTAATGCGAACGTTTCTCGACTGACTGGCCTTGATCTGCGCATTTTCCCCTCGCGTTAGGTTGGTTAAGGGTTTCGCCACTCTGGCGTTATCCCGGATGAATTTTCGATAATACGATGACATTCCAAGGAAACTTTTCAACTCTTTTAGCGTTCGGGGAGGTGACAGAGCTTCTATGGCCTGTACCTTTGAGGGGTCTGCTTTTATACCGTCGGAGGTTATTATATACCCCAGGAACTCTACCTCTGTTCTCATAAACTTTGTTTTTTCTATGTTTACCCTGACGTTGGCATCTGCCAGCCTTTCGAATACTATATCGACATTTTTCATATGCTCGTCTAAATCTTTACCAAACACTATGATATCGTCAATATAAACGTAGCATATTTTCCCAATATGTTCCTTCAAGACGTCGTCTATCATGCGCTGAAATATGGCCGGTGCATTCCTCAGCCCAAAAGGAAGTCTTAAAAATTCGTACTTCCCATTCATGGTTGAAAATGCTGTTTTCGGGATGTCAGCCTCTTTCATTGCTATTTGGTGGAACCCGGACGTTAGGTCGATGGTCGTGAAGTATTTGGCGTGGCCGAGGCTGGCTAATGTTGCGTTGATGTCAGGGATGGGATAGGTATCGGGTATCGTGATTGCATTTAGGCGTTTAAAGTCCACTACCATTCTGTATTGCTTTTCTCCGGACGGCTTTGGTTTTTTAGGTACCACCCAGATTGGAGAGTTGTAAGGGCTTTTGGATGGACGAATAATACCTTCGTCGAGTAGTTCGGAAATCTGTCTGTCCACCTCTTCTCTCATATTGGCCGGGTAGGGATAGCTTTTGGCGTATATAGGATCTTCTGTGGTAGTTTTTATTTCGGCCCTGACAGACGTTTTAATGTTAATTTTTGCGCTCAAAGGCTCAAAGAGATGTGAGTATTTTTTAAGTAGCGATTTCAAAGCGGGCAACACTGCCTCCGGGATCGATGCCTCAGAAAAATTAATACCCCCAACGGTTTTGTTCTTGAGTGGAATTTCAATACCCGGATCTATTTTCAAGGTATGATTTTTCCTGTCTATCACAGCCCCCAATTCTTTCAGGGTATCGTCGCCTATTATACCATCGAAAGAAGTCAGTCCTGGTAGGGCATAAAACGTTAGTACAGTATCATTCCCCATACTGTGAAAAAATTGTCCACTAACTTTTTTGTTTATTGGAACAGGCCCTGCAACAGTTTGCACTGAAAAGGGTGGATCAACCGGAGTTGAGCGGGCGGCTAGTATGGGATTCGCAACATTTTTGTTCGCCCCTGTGTCGACAAGAAACTTTAGGGTAATATTGTCTTTGGTGACGCAAGTGAGGTAGGGTATGCTGGAATACAGAGCAGCGGCCTTTATATGAAATAGGCTGGTGGCCCGTCCATCATAAAATTTACCTGCTGAGCCTCTTCTTCTCCTGGCTCACTGCTACTTGCTTCCACGTTGTAGAGTCGTTGCTTTTTTGTTTTTGGATGTCTTTCAATTGATGATGCTGGTCCTCTTTTAAACGCGTTGTTGCTTGCAGGTCGATTCATGTAGTTTACCTGCTTAGACTGAATGCTGCCATCGATTTCCATTTTCTCCGCAGGTTTCGGAGCCGTGGGTCTGCCTGGAAGCGAAGTGTTGGACTCTTGGTTTGACTGGAACCTATTGTATGGCACTCTGTTGTATCCTTGGCCAGCGTTTCTGTTTGTCCAGTTATAACTGGTGCGGGCTCGAAGAGGTATGGCCGGCCTC